TAAATTTACTATAACTTAAACTGAAATAATAAATAAAATAAAAATAAAGGCTCATTTAAAATATGAATACAGTAATATTTAAATAGTATATAAATAACTAAAAAAACACACGCACAAAAAACACTGTCTGCATTTTTAGCACCATGCAAATCAGTGAATGTTTGACATGAAAAAAAAAAAGTGCTTGTCGGGATATATGTCTGGTCAATTTTTTGCATCATTTGAATATTTGACTAATTACTGCTGCCTTGATTAATAGAAAATGTACATCAACAACTCTTAATAAAATTGTTTAACATGCTTTCTGCTGACATTAATATTTCCACAGTAGTTTAACCAAGATTTCTGTGAATAAGGTACTTAATCACTTCATTTAAATACTCAGGCTTGCAGTATTTTTTATGAATTTGGCCCCTGCGATTTCCAATGACCAACAATCCTTATTGCACAGCTCTCTGGAATACTTTACTCTGATTGGTTAGAAGCAACATCCTGCAATCAAATGACAATGCAATGACCATTAAACTATACAGTTGACCTTTGTTCCAGGAAACTGATTTCCTAGCTGTGCTGCTTTAACGCCTCTCGTATCAGCCTCTATCTTCTCATATTATTTTGCGCTAATGTCCGGTTGAATTCACATTTTCTCTTTTCAAATAAAGTGTACAGATTACATTGATATCAAGGATGCAATAGACAATGCAAATCACAATTGCACAAGACTTTGTCTTTTTTGCATTTTAATACAGGAGGACTTATAAATACACACAAGCACACACATGTAGTCATATGTGTGTTGAATGGGGAGATTAGAGAGCAGTAATGTGTAATTGAGGATATGGCCTGTAAACGTGGCCTGGTAATTACACTGGGCAGCTTTTCTCTATGGCCTCTACAGTAATAGGTAAAGTGATAATGGAATTAGTGATTGCCACTTACACAAGCAGGACTCGCGCTAGCCTCTATTAACCGTACACACACGTCTATAGGCCTGTGCACACACACACACACACACAGGCTTTCTTTCACACACTAACAGCTCACAGAATCAGAGCACACAACAGTGGAATTTAAATGCAAATGCATCTGATTAAAAGGTAAACTTGAGCAGGTTGCAACCTGTCCCGCTCGCGTCAACCCTGCACGCATGGTGTCACCAAATACAATTTATTTTTTGTTTACTCTTCCAGCTTCTTTTTATGTAAAAAGCCTTATAACTCACTAAATCTAAAAAGGAGGCTTGGTGTTTAAAAATGCAGGAACCTTTTTACTTTCTTATTGATTTTTTCCCCCTTCTATCCTTCTCTATTTGTCCCTTTGGCTGAGTGTAATGGATAGAGACATTCGTGTAGCAGAGGTTTAATATATACTGTAGGTAGGCAGGAATATAATTTAAGAGGTCGGTGAGAATGACCCTTATATCAGGAGGACCGATCAGACTTCATTCTGTGTTGGAGATTGTCCAGGAGTCTGACAAACACGCACACACATATAAACACTGGCAAACACAAAGGGAATAAGAAGGGAAGGCGACAGAAGATGAAAAAGCCAAAACATGTATCTTTGTGATAAGGGCCGGTGGCCCGTGGGGGTTCGGCTATTTACATGAAGATGAGAGAACACTCTTATTTTTGATAGCGCAATTAAAAGCTCCTTGAGTGGTACTACTGGGATGAGAAAAAGTGGTTGAAACATGACAGAGAATTACAGTTTAATTAAAAGCCAACAAGGAGGGAGAACACTGGGAGAAAACCAACACAGAAGAATGTACACAGTGGGGACCAAGAGTTTGAGAGCATTAGTAAAAATGCTTCTATTTTGCATGTTTCAAATGTAATAAAAATATTAATTTATTGATATTTATTTTACTATTAACTTATTTTAAAAGAAAACTATAAAAAAATGTAATAGTCATAAAATGAATGAATGAATGATAGATAAATAAATTAGTAATAAAAACAATAATAAAATACTAAAAGAAAAAAAAATCTATTACAAATTATATTAGCAGCACAACAATTTTAGTGAAACTGTTCAAAATCCTGAAACCTAAATTAGATTCTGAAGCCCAAATTTCAAAATGTTGTCTCTGATTTTTGTGTGCTAGATCAATGTAAATATTAAATCAGCCAGCGTGAGTTCTGAATCAATGTGTCACAAAACTGCACGGGGACACGAAGGCTGAGGATTCCAACTGAAGTAGTTTATTAAAGGGTTATATACAATCGTAGTCGAAACAGGCGTGGGGTCAAACACAATGAGCAATCTAAAACAATGACAGAGTTCAGGGCTGAGGCTAACAGAGTAATCCAGATAAACAGGCAGAATATCAAGAACCAGGAAGACAAGACACGAGAGAACCAGATGTGAAACCAGTGGCTGTAATGGAACACGGCAATTTGGAAGGTGTTATTCATTTTTATGACCACTAGATTATGGGTTATGGTAAATTAAGTCCAAAACTGAGTGACAGAGGTATGGTGGTTATCAAGGGCACTCCAGTTGGTGATCGTGACACAATGCATTCAATGACATGAACGAATATGATGTTTTTCCTCAGGTTTATATCAGAACCTTTATGCAAATTAATAACTACACCTTGACGATCGGCTTAAATTATATATCCACCGCAGGACGTTATTTTATGCAGGGCACCAGAACATTTAAATGGCTCATAAACTGGGTATTGGCAAGTCAGCGCAAAGTAAAGCTGATATTGCTGGATTCTGTGCACAATGACTGAATAATACTTCCTGTGCTCAGTGGAAGGTGAATAAATATTCAGAGTGCCTCTGTTGACTTCCCTCAGCATGAGAAATGGATTGAAAAATATGCATTTTATAAGGCCAGAGGACTGACTTTTCACATGGACCTTATAGGTGTGACTTGTGTGTTTTGAGTTTGTCGCCTCTGGCTTGCTTAGTTGGGTACACTTCATTTCCAGCGATATCGTTGACTTGATTGCACATATACTATTTAAACTGAACTGAGCTGAATGAAGACATCACTGATTCAATGATGAACTGTCTTTAACTGGAAAATTAGTGTTTACTATTGTCATTTTGCATTATTGACACACTATTTTCCTAATTAATGCTGTTCAGTTGCTTTGACACAATCTGTATTGTTAAAAGCGCTATATAAATAAAGGTGACTTGACTTGACTTGACTTATAGGTGGTATCCGCCTGGAGAGCATGTTGTATCCCAGTGAACTCCCCCCTGTCGTGTAGTGAGAGAGATAGCAAGAGAAACAAATATATTTCCACCCCTCCAGTGCTGTATGTACAGTGAACACAGCAACACATCAATCCTTCTCCTGCCTGTCACATAGTGAGGCTGAAGAGATTGAAGCTGAGCTGTCAGAGAGGTTTCAACCACAGAATCAGAGCAAGAGAGAGAGAGAGGAAGCCATGTAAAAGAGACCACAATGTTGTCAAGACTGCCATAAGTCCCACTTTCATGTTTCATGATTTCATGACAGATTAAAAATTGATTAAAACACATTGCTGTGGACTGTAGACCTGTGCTTGGCTTATGTTCAATGATATGGAAATAAAATAAATATACGGACTCCTAAAGGCATTTTTGTGCGCCTATTCAGAGTTTCCACCTGCCACAATAATGTAATGTCTTTGAATTATGTTAATTTGATAGCTTTTTCAAATTGCCAAATATAAATATATGCATATAATCAAACAGTATATCATATAATTAATTTGATTAAAATATTCATTATAAAATGTATTATCTATTTATAAAAATTAAATTAAAATCTATTAAACTAAAATCTAATCAATTAAAATCTATTCGTTATAAAAGCACTGATTTTACACAGGCTACTTGACGTCAGAGTTTTGATAAATCAAATTATATGTATTAAAAGCATTACAGACAGAATTCAAGCATCAAATTACCATTTCTTCGATCTTCACCAATTACACTCCTGCCATCAAAGATTGCCACCTATTTTTATAATTGATGACGGCTGGCAGTTAATTACTCTTATCTACACTCTACATTTCAACCTGTACACAGCAATGACTTAATGAAAACGATTTAAGTAAAAACTATCCTCCATTATTTAAGCTTGCCCTTTGTGTTAACACTGAGGTTCATTTTCCCAGAAAGAGAAGAAAAACAGCTACTATCCTACTTTTTTTTACAGGCCTTACCAGAATGTTTTAGATTTTATAGCACCTTTCTCAAGCTCAAGGTAATTTTACACACGTAAAAAGGCATTAAAGATATTGCATTAAAAACTGTTCTACAGTATATATACTACCATTCAAAAAAAATTAATTTTAAATGAATATTTTTTATACCGCAAAGACACATTAATTTGATCAAATGTGACAGTAAAGACATTTATCATGTTGTATAAAGTTTCTATCTCAGATAAATGCTGTTGTTTTCAAAGAATCCTGAAAAAAATGTATCACGTTTTCCACAAAAATATGAAGCAGCTATACTGTTTACAACATTTATAATAATTAGAAATGTTTCTTGAGCACCAAATCATCAAATTAGAAGGATTTCTGAAGGATCACGTGACACTGAAGACTGGAGTAATGATGCTGAAAATTCAGTTTTGCATAACAGGAATAAATTACATTTTAAAATATATTCAAATAGAAAACTGTAACTTTAAAATCACAATTTCACAATATCTCTGTTTTTACTGTATTTCTGATCAAACAAATGCAGCCTTGGTGAGCATAAGAGACTTAAAAAAATTATATACATATATACAGTATATATATATATATATATATATACATATACACACCGACTCCAAGCTTTTGAACGGTAGTGTAGTGTAATGACTAACCCGGACAAAGCTTTTTCTTAAAAACATCCTTTTTACAGTACCACTTGGTTATATTTATTGCTCCAACAATGTACAATGAAAAATGTCTTTGAGCTGACATAGTAATGGTCACATTTCTTTTGTGTATCGTTTTGTCAATAAAGATTCAGCAAAAGAGATGAATTGCTCACCCTGCTCACAATCAAATTCCTCTACAGTGGAGACGAAGTGAGGTCTGGAGTAAAAGTTGTGGGGTCCAGGCTGCTGAAGACCCCCCAGGCTGAAAAAAGCCCTGTCGCTGGCAGCACATGAGGAGAACGCTCTGCGGCTGGGGATGCACGGATACCGCGTCCAACTCTTCATCTCAAGGTCGAAGGCCTCGAATGCGGTCACTGGCAGCTTGCCCTGACGCCCACCTGTCGGAGGGGAAAATAAGAAGAGGGTTGGAGGATTAAGATGAAGTATGTATGTGTGTCTGTGCGCGTGTGTGGTAGCTCTCTGATAGGACTCTGATAGGTCAGTGTGTCACGTCTGTCCCTGCTGGGAGTCAGTGTGTGTGCGATTACCACATGTCACGGCTCACTGACAATGCTTTGGTCTCCTCAGACAAGCTGACAGCCTATTCCATTATTGGGTCTCTGACACACATAACACACACACACACACACGTCTGGTTTACTATACTTCTGGGGACTCTCCATAGGTGTAATGGTTTTTATACTGTACAAACCGTATATTCGATTGCCCTACACCAATCCTTCACCTATACCTACGCCTCAGAAAACTTTCTGCATTTTTACATTCTCAAAAAAAAAAAACTAATTCTGTATGATTTATAGGCTTGTTTCCCCATGGGGACCTCAATTTAGGTCCCCACGGTGACACGAGTCCCCATGAGTTGGTGTGTATTCAGGTTTAAGTCCCCACTGGTATAGAAAAACATGTACCTGTACACACATGCGCACACAAATATGCCTCTAACAGCACACCTACAGCCATACACAGGCTTGACAAACTCATTACATTAACTCATTTAGCAGATGCTTACAAATGAGATGAAGGTTTGAACGTGCCTGACGCTTCTGACTACTACACAAATGATTCATCTTATGGAGACAGTAACACATACACAAGTAATGAAGAAATAGAGAACCACATTTAGTAAGATGCACACTGTTGTCAACTAATTGTTTTATTTTGTTACATTAATGCATTTGGCAGATGCTTTTATCCAAAGCAAACGCATGGTCCTTGTGTCGCTAGCACTATACTCTACTGTTTAATCTACAGGGAGTAGTAGATGAGCTGTCAACTTATTAGTTATTGACTATGTTACCTGAGTGTTACTTTCTCTAACTCAAGGACCACTGTAAAAAAAAATATTATTATTATTTTTTGAAGTTATAAATAAAAGGTTATTGGTTATTGGAGTATGTTTTACAACAAAATACTGCAAACTTAATGAAGAGGTTGGAGTTGTGTGATGGTGTGCAGTCGTGTGTCAGCAGAGTGAAGAGTGAAGAGGAGGGGGCTCAGCACACATCCTTGGGGGGTCCCAGTGTGTTTTTATTGTTTTTGTATGCGGAATATGTCTGAGGAGCTTATTATTATTGGGATTGCATAACTGCAGAAAGATGATACAATGAGCGCTTCTCATTGATAACACAATGAATCTGTTAGTTGAGCCTCTGTGAATGTGTAGCTACAGTAATATCCATTAGTCACAGCAGACAGCATATTTAATGTGATGAGAATGAAAATGAGGCTGTGATGGATTGAAGTTCATGTCATACTCTTGTATATCTGGGGAGAAATCATTCAGCTGATGAAACAATCTGGAACTGTGGTCACAGTGGACAAAACAATCAGGAAATTTTCAATAAAAATGGCATTTTGTAGGATCTTAACATATGAGTATTGGATGCACTGCCCTTTCCACTTATTTGATAATAATAATAACATTTTATTTGACATTGTCGTTTAAGTCAAATTAAATATGACATCTACCCTGGTCTAAAACCAGATTTTGCCATATACAATGTAATTGTGCATTTAAAGGGATAATTAATCCAAAAATACAAATTCTGTGATCATTTCCTCACCCTCATGTCATTCCAAACCTGTATGACTTTCTTTCTTACAGTATGAGGAACATAAAGGCAGATATTTTGAAGAATATTAAGTGAACAATTCTACTGTATGGACAACAAAACCCCACAAGGACATTTATCAAAATATCTTCTTTTATGTTTCACAGAAGAAGGCAAGTCATACAGGTTTAGATGATGAGTAAATGACGACAGAATTTTCTTTCTTTCTTTTGGTGAACCATACCATTAAAATATGCAAAATAAACCGCAAACTTAACAGGGAGGACAACTTGTCTCTTATGTTTTTGTTGTTGACGTCAAAGGTCACATGTCCAATTGAACTCTGTGATATTTTGGTACTAAAGCATCTGTCACAAGGTAAATGCAGTTTGCTACTTTGCTGTAAAACCAATGTTTATTCTAGGTTCTGAAACAAAATCGGTTGAGATTGACTGATCTATACAACAAATAGTACATCACAAGAACATAAACCTCTCTGGAAAACAATGTAAAGTGTACAACTCTAGGGTGTGTATCACTGCTTATGTATGTGAGAGCTCAGAAAGTACACCTTCATTTTTCCCTCTTATTCTTCCCCTCTTGCACGTACTCTTTCATTCACTATGCATTCACAATGTGACTGATCTCCTCCCAGCTTTGGCATTACTGAGAGCCCTCTGGGACAGAACAGACAGCCAGGGAAAAACACACACACAAGACAAAAAAAAAGGGGGGAGAGAAAGAACCTGTCTGAGAAACAATGCGGAAGAGTGAAGAGATGGAGAAAGCAGGCCAGAAAATGGAAATGCAGTCAAGACAGTGTGAGAGTAACAGATAGAGGAAAAGTCTTGAGGACGGGGCAGCATGTCTCTATAAGAAGTGAGGTTTCAGCAGTCCATTTAAGAGGTCTTGTTCTCTTGACCTTTGTTGGACACCTCTAATTAACTTCTTTCAACTCTTTCAGCCTTTCGACTTCAATCATTAAAGCCTCCATGGTCAAAATTGTGGGAAATTAGTTGAGGGGAACAGGGCAAATACACGAGTGGATTTAACAGAGACGTGTATGGGTGAGATATTGAGCTGAGTGAATTGCGGCTGGTATTGGGCCAAACCCATCCACAGACTGATTTGAAGACAGACGGCTGGTGTGCAGCCAGCATCATGCACACATGCCAAAGTAACACACACACACACACACACACACACACACACACACACACACACACAGACATCGATGCAAAATAACACACACTGCATATAAGTAAATCTGAATTTAAAACAAAGAAACAAGGAGAGCTTGAATGTGTTACAGCAGGGGTCTTTAACGGTTTTCATGTGAAGCCCCCCAGGTGGATAGAGAGGTGGAGCAGGAAAACTGTTACATAATGCATAAAACTGAGTGATGAATTTTATGCCTGGCCTATAACAACATATATAATAGAGTGATGCATTTATACACTTCATGACATTTGCAAAAGTCATGAAAACAATCATTATTGATGGAAAGAGTCATTTATGTGCACATTACATTTGAATTTTACTTACTACTTGTTAAAGAAGTCAGAATTCATGAGGTGAATTCTATCTTTTAAACTTGAAATTGAAGTTTACTTAATGACATTGTATTTTTTTTTTTACATGTTTGAGCTCCTGAAGACCCCTGTGCTGCAGTATAAAACGTTTGTTTAAAAATAAAGGCTAGTCTGTCTGTACAGAAGTTTTTTTAATGAATTATCCCTATTTGTTTAAGTGAATTGACATGTCTGGTTCAATCAAGGGTGTGAGTTTGGGCAGAACAACACTACCGTTCAAAAGTTTGGAGCTGAATTTCAGATTTTTTTTCAGCATTCTATGATGAATAGAAAGTTCAAAATAACAGCAATTAAACTTGTAATATTAAAAAGTCTTTACTGTAACAGAAAATTCACACTTCACCTTTTATCACGTTATCATTACTTTCTAAAAGAGCAGGAGGAGGTAAACTGCAATGTTATTGATGACTTCTATCTCCGATTAGGTTCATAGAGAACCTGTAACTGCACAAATGGCTAATTTGATAATGCTTACAGCTTAAAATAAGAGTAGGGGTTTCAGCTCCCTTTTTACACATTTTATCACGTTTAAATCCGTTATGTGCAATTTCTCTCAAAATTTGGACCAAAAATGCGAGAAAAGCACAATGAATCATGCTGCAAATCAAATAGCATGTGCTGAGCATTTAGATCATGTCTTCGAGGGACAGGTGCATTTCATTCAGCTTCATGAAAACAACACCAGTGGAAAACACCTTCAAAGCAGCCTTAAACTTTCTCTGAGAATGTTTTTTAGTTCACATTCGAATGGGGTCTCGTCGCTCTCCTGCCTGCACCAGAGGTAACAATATTAGCATCCACAGTAGGCATCTTATTTTGGGGAGACAGCGTGGTGCATCTGGGTGACGTATGATTGTGTCTGCGCTCACAATAGACCTCGTGGGGCTCATCCCAAAGTAAATCAAAACTAAATGAGCATTCTGCGATCAGACTTATTCCTCATTCTTGGCCTTAATGTGATTTTACTGCAGCTCTATTTGTGGTCCAGCAGCCCGACAAATAACAGAATTAAGTTTCTTAATATTACTGCTGTCACCCAGCAAAAGATCTTCAATGCAAAACTTTTTTTAAGTGTCAAACTGTATCTAAAGCATGACAAGAAATACAAAGGCGAGTAGCCTTTTAAGAACAAGTGAGGGAGAGAGAGAGAGAAAACAGAGATAGAAAGAAAGAATGATGCTGAAGACCGCAAGGAGGGATATAAGCAAAAGCAAGGCTCTGAATGAATTATTCCCTGTGATGTCAAATCAATGAGTTTAAGTCTAACCATCAAGACAAAACTGTCATAGCGGAGGAGAAGAATCATGAGTCCAGAGGGAAAATATTCTTATTTCTCTGTATTTCACTCACTTCACACACCACATCTCAATTTCTAATAATTTCATAAGTTATTATGCCATTATGAATATTGCCTTTCATGCAGTGTGTAATGTAGCTGTATGTGAATGTAAACAATCTGCAAAGTTGTAAAGCTGAAAGTGCACGATAAATAAAGTTATTGTCTCCCAAAAGAAAGAATCGACTCAGAAGAGCCTAAACGAGTCGTCAGTAATTCGAATCCCACTTCTGTGACGGCTACACGTCACGGGGTAACACATTTGCATAATGCCCACCTATGTTCTACATTTGCCGTCCGCGAACAACTTGACCCCGCCCACAAACAGTGTAGCGTATCGTTTCCGACATGCGCTGTACGCAGTAGACCAATCACAACAGACTGGGCCAGCTGACCAATTTAAAGCAGAGTATGCTCACAGAAAGGAGGGGTTTAAAGAGACTGAATCTTAGAACTGCTTCAAACAAATCATTCGAAAATTAGATAGTATGTTAAATGAATATTTTGAGAAAACAAAAGTGTTTTTTGACCTTGCATGCATGTAAACCTATTGTAGGAGACTCCAAAAACAACTGGTTAAATCTGTATCGCTAAACATAAATAATTTTAAATGAACAAACTCTTCACTAGTTTTTACTCTTTTGGTAATAAAAAGAAAGTCCCCAAAGCCATTAAAGCAAGATGAAGATGATTTATCCATTTTTTTTTTATCCCAGAGGCAAATGGTGGTGATCTTTAGGGGGGAGATGCACATTAACATATTCTCCTTAATCTACGTTCAAGCAATCTTAAACAGCATATCAGAACATCTCTACTGAATTCACAGCACTTCTGTTCACATTCAGTTTGAGCTGTAAAATGAAACCAAACAAGACTTGGTAATAAGTTGAAGCACAGAAGTTGCACTTGCTGTGAGGGAATGTGAGTCCAGGTGTGTAACAGTAATGAGGGCACGTCTGCTTCACCAGGCTGATCAATGTTGGCATGGGAAGGTGATGTTGCCCATCACTCTTGCCATATCCAGCCTACACCTATACAAAAAAAATCTACAGTATGTCCTCATTAGTGTGTGTGTGTAGGGAGGCAGAGTTTTAATGACTTCTCTAAGAGTGAGAGGGCAGTTGATCTTTGTGTCTGACCTGAACAGAATGTCTCAGTGCAGAGAGGTTAGAAAGAGGACAAATCTGGCAAAACACAACCCCATACTGGCAACTCCACATGCTCATCAAATCCATGGGCACAAACACACTCTGATCAACTATAAAACTCACACATACACGTAGTCTAACCCCTCCAAATGCTCATCAAACTCAGACATTTACATGTACATTTGGAAGAGGACTTACATCGCATTGTATCAGTTCATGCATTCTCAGACAGACAAGACACACACACACCTAGCTATTTAAGTATGAAATGTTCTTAAATTATTAACTACGCTGAACAAAATTATGAACGCAACACTTTTGTTTTTGCCCCCATTTTTCATGAGCTGAACTCAAAGATCTAAGACTTTTTCTATGTACACAAAAGGCCTATTTCTCTCAAATATTGTTCACAAATCTGTCTAAATCTGTGTTAGTGAGCACTTCTCCTTTGGCCGAGATAATCCATCCACCTCACAGGTGTGGCATAATCAGCACCTGTGAGGTGGATGGATTATCTCGGCAAAGGAGAAGTGCTCACTAACACAGATTTAGACAGATTTGTGAACAATATTTGAGAGAAATAGGCCTTTTGTGTACATAGAAAAAGTCTTAGATCTTTGAGTTCAGCTCATGAAAAATGGGGGCAAAAACAAAAGTGTTGCATTTATAATTTTGTTCAGTGTATTAACCCTAATCTTAAAAGAAAAATTTGGCATGTCTAGAATTAAAAAACATTTGATTGGGGTCAATGACACAAAATAGTTTTTGTTTCCGGATCCATTAATTGAATAATGATATAACAACAATAAAATTTATACATACGATTAATTGAATATACTTCTATGATAAGCATGATTTAAATCTCTGAATTAAATTTCATTTTGATATTTTTGGGGGAGCTAAAAAAATGATGCCAAATCAAGTCATGTGGTGTGACTAACATCCCAGATAGCAAAAATCATCTGGGCCAGATCTGGCCCAGACCCATCTGAAGTTCTGGTCCAGATCCGCACAACGGACTTGGGCCAGCGAGTCTCTTAAATTATCCAATAGTTTTACTTTTTTATGAAAAGTTGTAAAATGTTACTTGGTGCAGAACTCCAAAAATTTTACTATTTTTATGAATTAATAATTCATGTTATTTGTAATAGAACATTTTTTTTTTTAAAATATTGATTAAAATGTGTACATTCGCATGTATAGGAGTTCTAAGTCCTTACATACAGACTTTTCTTGAAAATGGTATTTCAAGTTTTTCAAAACCATATGAAACCAACATGAATATAAGGATAAATGTTTTTTTTTTCTTTTCTTTTTTGTACACACTCTTATTTGTCATTGACCCATTTATCAGTCCTTTTTACCTTTAGAACATCCCCAAATACAGGCTCTCTCATATTTAGCTCTAACTTCGGGGGACAATATTTTGTCCCAATACTTTGTTTACTTAAATAAAATATGCATAATTAAACATTTATACTCTTTCTCTCTCTCACACACATACACACAAACACTAACACACAGAGTAGCACATAGCCACGTATGGTCAGTGTTTCTTTCACTCCGCCCAAAACAGGCCAGTGCTGGCAGTAACTTGCAGCTGAGGGCTGTGTCTCTTTTAAAGGACACACTTTATCATGGGACAGAGTGTATCATGGAAATTTGCGGTGTAGGCTTCCATTTAATGCTTCCTTGGGATTTCCAACACTGAAGTAAGAACTGAACAGCTCTGCTATAAACTGTCAGATCCCTGCAGCATATTGCAGTGCAGATTTCACTTCACCCCACTGAGAAATGACTCCACTCCATGGTTCTTATCAGCCCTGGCATGGCATGAACAATTACCAGGTGTTGTTACCACATCTGCTGCTCCTGGAGAATATTGTGACACAGTCTGACATGGAAAATAAGTTACATTATAATTATTGGCTAGTCTAGTACACCGTCTGCTAAGCACCTCTAGAGAGAAGACCCACTTTTCCATTCCTTTAAAACAATAAATATTGTATTTTATGCTGATGAAATGCATAGACACACTCTACTGTTTTTTAAGATTTTTTAAAAGAAAATAATACTTTTATTCGACAAGTACACATTAAATTAATCAAAAGGGACAGTAAAACATTTACAAAATTACAAAAGATTTAATCAATTCAAGTAAATGCAGTTCTTTTGAACTTTCTATTCATAAAAGATTCCTGAAAAAATGTTTTTGCATGGTTTTCACAAAATATATTAAGCAGCACAACTGTTTTCAACACTGATAATAATAAGAAATGTTTTTTTTTTTAGTAGAAAATCAGCATATTAGAATAATTTCTGAAGGATCATGTGACACTGAAGACTGGAGTAATGATGCTGAAAATTCAGCTTTGCATCACAGGAATAAATTACATTTTAAAATATATTCAAATAGAAAACAGAATTTTTCAATTGTAAAAATATTTCACAATTTTTCAGTTTTTATGCTATTTTTGGTTAAATAAATGCTGCCTTGGTGAGCATAAGAGACTTCTTTCAAAAACATTAAAAGTCTTATCACCCCAAAGTTTTGAACATTGTATATACACAATCTGCATGATTATTTTAGGAAAAAAGTGTTTGTCTAAATTATCGAATTACTCAGATTATTCGCTCTAACTTATACATTTTGTCATAATCTAACTACCATAATATCGCTAGAAACCTATATTATTTTTTTCCTGTTGATGAAAATGCTAAAGTTCAAGTTCAGTGGTTGTCAAAATTTAAAAAAAAATTTTTGTTGCCATTTTAAAAAACTATGTGTTAGGTTGAGATTTGAATTGCAGATCCCCTTTCACACTAAACAAAAGTTTTACCATTACACTCTCCTGTCTGTCTGCCCTTTTTTTATTATTTGGTCATGTCTTATTATTCCTAGGGAACCAAGAGTGTGTCTCTGACAAACAACCGAATTATTCAGATTTATGAGACAATTTTATGAGGGCTTACCCAGAACATAGATCTTGCTACCGCGCAGGAAGGAGAAGGCTCCGTAGCGCGGGGTGGGCATGGAGGTGTGGGGCAGCCACTGGTCCTTTGTCGGCTCATACAGCCTCACTGAGGCCTGAGGAGTCGTGTCGGCTCCCATCCCACCCAGTGCATATACCTTGCCATCTGAGAGGGAGAGAGAAAAAGAGAGAGTCTGAAATTAGTTTGAACTCTGTTACCAAGTCTCCCGCATCCCTTATTAAACGAATTAATAACAAACAAATCAGGAAATGGCAGAGCAGTGGCAGTGAGTCACTAGTTTGAATTAGGAATGTTCCCTCTGTGCCGGAGTGGAGAATCACTAGAGACATTTTTTTCCTGAGCTACAGCTATTTTAAGGTTTACTTAAATTCCACCTCTAAACCTCACTCTCCACATTTGTTCTCTTCCCCTAAGGGGACTGAATATTAAATATGAATGTGTTCCCATAACTGACCCAATCTTTTGAACTTCCCCACAAATTCTCTATTATAGCTGTACTTGAAATATATACAGTATTATACTTTTTTGTCAATTGCTAAAACACATTTACTCAAAGCTTCCTGGTGAAAAACTAGCGTTCAGGCTGGGGTGCATTTCCCGTACAACGACGTAACTTACTGATTAACCACCATATTCATCCACCACTGGATACCTTCCTTGGGCCAAGTGTGTGGACCTTACAGTACGATGCATTGTTGTGTAAACTAAATAGCCAGTCACGACTGCTTCCCGAACACGGTCGTATCTCCGTCGTTTGAACCACATTAGTTCAACAATTTAGGGCCGTTGTTAATGACGTCACATGCATGTGGTGGAGTATTAACGTCTGCTAATTAATTGATTCGAGATCTCTGAGATGCTGCTGTATTGAACATGGCACCTGATGACTAATTTACTATGTTTTGTTCCCTGTCATTTTGCTTTATTTGATGTTTGATTCATCGCGGGTTTCCTCTTACGTCATACTCCGGCGGGGTTCCCTTTGGTATTTATGCACATGTGCACTCTTCTCTTCAAAAACGGTGCTTATTGAGGACACACTAAATGTATATATATTTTAAAAGAATGGAAGATATAGAATGTAAAAGTGAAATCGCAATGAACCACCCCTTTAAGTCCATATGTCTTACTAACAAGAAACTATGCTTCTAACCACAGGTCGAGTGCTGTAGTGAAAACTGAAATTTTACAAACTTTACACAAATACCAAACTTCATCATATATCTGTAAAGAGCCTAGTTTACATTTTAGAAAAAGGCATGTTGGCACTCGAAAGAATGGCAGTGACTTCATTTAATACTCTTCCTCTAATGTGAGTACTTTCTGTACTGTTTGCATCTAAAGCCAAGAACTCTGTAGCTATTTTTGCAAACCCCATTCTGGGTGCTGTGTGAGGTAGTTTGCATACTAATGTTCACATAATGAGAATTGTGTGTTAACTGAGGTTGTGATGACATTGTGATGGTTTCTGAATGCTAGTGCTTTCAACATGAGCACAAAATGGTGTAAAATTATTAATTTGTGTTGAGAGTTTTGGAAAAAAAAAATGCAACATGTTTTTATAGGTTTGAATAATTATAAATAAATTATATATAATAATATATAATAATTATAAAGAATAGTCTTTGTTTGGGGGAAAGAGAAAATTATGGTTCATAAGATTTCTGTAACTAGTTTGTCCAATTTGTAGAATATATGTGTCTATAATTTAGCAGAGCACCAGAGAAATTATATTATATCCCACGCTTAACTCCAATCTAAGAATGACCTTCATAAAGTTTTCAAGGGAAAAATGAAAAATGCTGCATAGCAATGAAATTACAATATGAATGTGGAGAGAAATGCAGCATCAGCAAAGAGAACAGCCCTACTGCAGCACAGCCAACTGTTAATGGAGTTGTATGTTTAAAGGTGAAAGAGTAAAGCATCCTGATATGGATGCTAGTCATAATTTAACTGAACTGTCAATGGAACAAACAGCATGTGAGAAAGATCATGGGAGTACTGACTGATGTGCACATACAGGTTATTACGGCATTGAAACGCCCAAATCAAGACATCAGGGTCATCCCAAGAGGAAACATCATTAATGATCACCATATGGAGCATTTAAGAGAGTGAGAGAGGATGTATGTTAGTTAAAGACAGTCTCTGTATGTCTGCATTTCTCTCTTGGCATGACTGCAGCAGCTGCTGACTCAGATATCTGCAGTACTGTGACTATAGTTAACTGCAGAACCAATGGGACAGATAGAGACAGGTACCAGGGAGTAAACTAGGTGGCAGCAGAGAGCATATGCAGTCCTGGTCATCTCCTCCAAAATAAATAAATAAAACAAATTAATAAAAAAAATCTAGAGTAATACTAATATACAATATATGTTCCTTGCAAAAACAGTTTATGTAGTCATAATATAGCACTAATTTCAGATTGGATGTTAATGAAGAAAGATGTTTTGTGGTGTCCACATGATGTAGTCACACCATTAACCAACAAGGGGTAACTAGCCAAACCTTGAACTTTTGAAGAAGCTCCTATTTAAGTGTTTGGAAATCATAACTATGACGTGATGTGCATTCAAGTCATTTCTGACACAATCCTTAATTATTTCTCTCTTTTTCCCTAGCTGATAACGACAAAGCCATTTTAGTGCTACTGTATGAATGAATGAATGTGCATTAGGTGTGTAATTGGTTGTCACAGAAAATGTTGGGGAAAGTAGCTTGGTCATACAACCCTGTCTCCTCATAAACAGGCTAAATGAATAGAATTTTCTAACAAGCTTTATCACTATTCTTCATCAACAGTACAGAAAATGCATGCAAATTAAATTGACCGTCACAGTTATAATTCAGGATTAATACTAATTTGCTTCCGCCCCAATTCTTTAATCAGTATTGTTACTGTTAAGTAAAAATAAAACTATTAAAAATTGTTTTTGGATAACTGAAATAAAGCTGAATTAAATTAAAATATTACATGAAAAACCTCATGTTGCCTTGGCAACTAACTGAAATGAAATTAAGTACTAAAATTACTAAAGCTATAACTAAAATAAAAGTAAATTAAAGCTATATAGAATTATTTAAAAAACAATTTAAAATTACACAACTAAACACTATTAAAAATGACAAAAGAACATCAAATTACTAAAACTTAAACTAAAATGACAGGAAAAATTAAAATATAAAAATAAAAGTTCTTAAAGAAAATCCTGACTTTTCCCCATGGTGTCATCCATATGTGCAAATATATATATGATTATTTTGACATGATTTGAATGTAGCTTATTTATGTTTTTGCACTTCTAAAGAGAATGATGATAAATGCAGTTTCCTATGTACGCCCAGTCCTCATGAACTGCCTAAATAAGAAGTATTTTCTTTATTAGAAAGAATTTGTTTAGCAATTAGATACTGTAAAATACATAGTTTTTAATGTTTTGCTCAGAGATTGTTGCAGTGATGATCAGGGGCGGAAAGCAATGTTCTTTCCAGCACTCTGAAGCATACTCTACTTCTCTATTTCTTTTCTGTGGCTTGCTACTGTATCTGTGAATTTTATTTTTGGTGAGGATTTTCTTTGTCCTTTTTGGAGCTTGACAGCCATAAGTCACTATAAATTGTCTTAGCATGACAAGAGCTGCAAAACAATTCCTGAAAAATGTGTTCCACTAAAAATATAACAGAATACAGGTCTGGAACAACATGAGGGCGAGTAAACAATGACAGAATTTTTGGGGCGAATGGTCAATTTAAAATCCTCTGTGACTATGAAAGGAGAAAGTATTTTAGCTTCGAAAAATTACACACCTATTACATCACCTTTAATGCTCCAGAAAGAGAGGAGACAGTGAGAAAGCAACCGTGAAAGTAAGAGGTTTTTCAAGGCTTGTGTATAAATGACAGCAAACAACAACACTCAAAGATCATGACCACCATCTTCACTTTCATCCTTCTTCGCTGCATTCACTCTGATGACCACAAATTATTTTTCCAGTTTGATTTGATACGGCCTGACATGTTCAAGGCTGTGTAAAGCATGAAAGAGACTGAGAGAAAGAGCAGGACAGAAATATCTGAACAGTGCAAGAAGGATCTAATGGCTTTAGAAACTAATGACCTCAAAGTTTTCCTTCAAAGGGACATTTCATGGCTGTTTTTTTTAAATAAAGATTGGCCATATATTAAGCAATTCCACAGACATTAAAAAACACTTTGTTCTATCCAACCACAATAACATGATAAAACAACAATAGCTCTTCCATGTCAAGAGGTTTTGTCATGAACACCCACTGCAGGGATAAGCAACAACCAGCAGGACATTGTAGTGAACGCTTATCTTCTATTTAATGCTAGCTCCGCCCATTGTGAAATCTCATTGGTCCAAAATCTCACTGTCATTAAACATCAAATATCTTCCATTTGCCTTTACATCAGACAGCTTGCAGTTTCAGTTTAGTGTGAAAAGATCAATTGCTTGTTGCTAGAAACATCTCATCATGCCTGGTTAGGACACGGTGTCAGTTGTCAGACAACAGATGGAATCCAAATGTCTGTGTTGACCCATTAATGCATGTCAACCACTAGTTAAGAAACCCGTCTCATTGAATACATACTGCATTGTACATATTCCTTGCTTCTGAGAAAAAACTTTTTGTATTTTAACTACTTTTTAACTTTCTGTCAAAGCTAGTCCCTAGCCATATATTTCATCCATATTAAACAAGTCTTTGGAAACTGTTCTGTCCTTTTTAATAGCTCCTCTTTTCCCTGAGGACTGAGGACAGCAAGAGCGCTTATTCTTTTCATGTATCTGACATCTTTAAAATATCTTGCTCATGCTGAAAAAAAAAGACTGAATGCTATAGCTGTATACTGATTTTAAAGGAACATGTCTACAGAAAAAAAAACATTTGGTATTTTAATCATAATACTTATTTATAATGCAGATAACTGAATAATATATTATGAAACTACTGCATTTGTTGTGTATAGTTATAGAGCTTGAATACAATTTATGCTGCAATTGATTTATCATACAGCGTGACATGCAAAATACTGTCTTAGCATAAGATTTAATGTCACGCTGTGTTTCACGCTGTTAGGTCAATCTGAGGCCAAACTGAACTCCGACCAGCTTC